AACAATTCAAAACACGCAAAAGACATGTCTTGTTAGGCTTCAACAACCCCTACGGCGACCAGAAGCACAATAGTCGAGTAAATTAATGATTTTGTTCCGACTCTAGACATTCTGATGAGCGTTGCAGCACACGGCACGAGAAAGATGGACCCTGGGGCTGAAAACGATAATCAGCGCTGAGAACGAGAGCAAAGCAGCCAAGCGCAACTTAACGCAAGGTCATAGCATTTCTGAAAACAGCAAACGGAGAGGACGACAGGGATTCAATTAAGTAAAGACAGGTGAAATGAGAAATGCTGCTGCTCGTGACTTCCGGCGTTATCCGCTTGTTTTTTAAAGCCTGAAATCTGCCTCAACAGACATCGCTACAAGCATTCCATCAAGGTGCATCTGCCCGACTGATGTGTGCACACAATGGGTGGTGGGGTAGCAAACGGGGGGAGGGGGGAGAGGTGTTGGGTTGCCGGGTAAATAATCGCGTTTCGAAAAGTGGTGAAGGGTGGTGAGATGGGGTGAGCACCATGAGCAATCCACTCAAACACGCAGGCACAGAGTTGCTCAGCCTACGCATATAACTGAAGCCTACTCCGACATAGTTGATGACTGCTCAGCAACGATATCGAATGCTTCAGTTCCCTGCATATAATCGCCATGAAAAACGGCAATAAAAAGGGGTAGGCAATTCGTGCAAGGCGAAAGTGGAGCGGAAAAAAATTTCTTGAAAAGGAGAAATCTAATTTCTATTGAACATTATATATGCGAGCAAATCTTTGATTATTGTCTCCAGAGCAAATAAAAAACCCTGCCGGACACCGCTGACACACTCAAGGGGCACGGCACGGAGGACGGGGGGGGGGAGTGCTGGGCAGGCGTTTCAATGCAATGCATAGAAGGACATAAGCACCAACTGGTCTCCATGCCAATACCGCCGGCAGCTTGCCAGCGCATGGCCCCGACAGCCACTCGTCGTAATGAATAAAAATATTTCCAACGCCTTTGCTGTCGTCGTCGCCTTTTTCCTCGTACTTCAAGCACGACAATCGATACACCTAAGAAGACAATGAATTACTTTAGACAAAGTCTAACGCCCGTGAATCGCTAAAAGAATGTATGAGAATGAGGGATTAGAGGAATAGAAAAGGGTTATCCCTATGGGTGCATTATCTGAACAATGTGTAGCTCCCTTGCTAAAAATGATCAAAGCCAAATGTCAGCTGGCGCTAGGACAAGCCACAGCTAGTTATGCTCCCAGTTCTGTGTCGAACAGAGGATCAGTGTGAGCTAAAATTAGATTGAGAAAACGGAAATGATCAGGATATGGTCTCGGAGGCCATGAGCACAGTGTAATCACGTACATGTCTTCATAACCAGTTGCCTGAAGACGAACGAAAAACTGGTTCTCCTTTTGATAAAATCAATGTGGCATTTATCAGTTCTACAAATATAAATTGAGAAGATTCAAGAATGTGGTAGGTAAGAAAACGATGACATAATTTAGTTCAGATGACTGAGCCGGAACTAACAACAAAATACAAAAACTGCTTTAGTGGCGCTCTCAGACAGTACGAGCCACATAAAAAGCGCTCTAAAAAGTGCCCTGCACGATGGCAAATGTACGGGAGGCAAACGTAAGCCGACAGGGTCGGCCTACGGGACGGACAGTGCGAAAGTACTCGACAAGTCAAGCACCACACTCATGTTAGTCGTTCGGAATCCACTCAAGATTCGTTCTCTCTCGCACCCGGTGATATTGATCTCACCTTAGATCATACAGCCGCAACACCTCCCATCCTGCTCATTTTTCCAGCTCGTCCAGCTCACTTCAAATTTATTGCACGTTCTGCTTGATCTCAGGACAGGCAGCTCATGATTAGAATTGACGCAAGTGCTGCAGTCTTATCAATTACCACTCATTCGTGGCGCACGCACTTACGTTGGCCATGAAATCGTACCAGGTAACAATTGAGGAGACTGAAGTGTCGTCACTACGCTCTTACACGCATTAGGGCCAGTACAACTTTAATTAAATCATGAAAGGCAATCGCAACTCGGGTAGATCCACACGACAACGATCAAAATGGCCAGGTAGTATAGCGAATGAGTTGGTCGATAGGAGGCGACTAGACACGAGAATATCGCAGCGCGATCGACTTCACTGACAGCGACAACCTTGAAACACAGTGTCAAACGCGATCCAACCACCTCACGACAACACGCCGACAGCACAACGAAAATGCTGTCATGTCGACCATTTTTCCACGGTGAGTCCCACTAGTAACGGTGAAACGCAACAATTTCAGTAACGCACGAAAAACTGCTGAAGCAACCCACCCACACACACCACACCATCCGATGACCTCAGTGTGATAAGCTGAGAAACTGCTTCGGGTCGAGGGGATCCGCCCAAGAAGAACCACCTTCACGTGTGCGGCTCGTGCTCATATCTATGATTAGGATGTGCTGTTGGCAGGACACATGGGTGGCAGTTGACAGCCGTGACAATGTGGCGAGACACATCAATGAAGTTTTGGTGGCGATGCGACAAGAATGGCGAACGAGAAGGCGATGAGTGATAACGCTCGACGAACCGACCGGATGTGCGGCAACTCAGGAGAGTCGTAATTCGATTGCGCCTGCCCAATCCACCACTCCATTCCGACCGAGAAGCAATTAGCACGCTGCCAGCAGCACTGGCAGACGGCGGCAACGGTCGTCGTCGTGGTCGTCTACGACGACGACGTCAATCGCATGTGAGCGAGCCCGAGGTTCAGTCCGAGTCGAGTCGGAAGTTGTTGATGATGCTATTTCAATGTTGATAATCTCAGCCGCGTGTCATGTCAGAGCGTAGGCAAAAACAAGACATCGGAAATAATATCGTATAATCGCATTAACGAGGAAACAACCGTTACCAAAGTCTTCAGACTCGGAGGAATTTAGCAGGTGCCATTAGCTGATTCCAGCCGCCGGAAGTGGCAAAAACGGTCGATCTTGGGTGATAATCCTTCATGAAAGGGAGCTGGAAAATTTCAACCCAAAATTGTGAATCGCAGGTCTAAGCTAAGTTTCAGCAGCGGGAACATTTGTGGGCCCGAATAAGGGAATGTAATGTCCATGGCAAAGGTGGGACTGCGTCAGAAGAGCGCATTTAGGTGAACAGCAAAGTCGCGAAAGCAATCGAAGCTGAGGAGAACAGCAAATCCATTTCGAATCGAAGCGGGGAGGGACAGCCATACACGACGTCGAGAGTGAATTTCGGGCCACCCCACCCGGAGTTTTCGGCACACACTGAGGAGATGACGAGCGTGCAGTATGCACAACGGTTCATCAAAAATGTGTGAATTAGGCATTTTTCACAAGAACACACCAAATAATCTCAATTCATATACACAAGCGAACCGAAAAGTTTCGTAAGGTCAGGGAAAACGTGAATGAACGAATATTTGTGGAAGTGACAAGGTGAGAGAGAGAGTGTAAGAGAGCGAAATGTCTTCGACGTACCGACATACTCTCGTCCCCTCCCCCTCCCCGTACTGTTGCGACAGACTCCAACCCCCCGCGTTGTTAAACCGAATCATAAACATTGACATGGTAGCCAGCCTGCTTTCGCAGAAGCTGTTTATCTTCAACTAGTGATTGGCAGCCAAATCTCGAACACTCACACAACTTACTTACTAGTTTGAAATATTTTTTCTCCAACAAATGCCTATAAGCCATTGTCACGACTGATTACTATAGAAATACTTGTCATGATCAGGGTCGCTAGAGTGAACATAAAAAATGATAAAAAAGAGAAGAACGGAACGAAGGAGAGTGAGGAGACAGGAGGCAAGGGGGGGCGAGAGGCGGCGTGTAAGCAAAAGCAGCGTATCGATCTGCCGTTAGCGACAACAGCCTCCCTCAGGCCGAAGAGAGAGAGGAGAGAGGTTGATAAAATCGGTGAGTAAAACAACATCTATGTGTGTATATGAAACTCAGCAGTATATCAGTGCTGTTAGAACAGTCGCGATCGCATGCCGATAATGTTACTTGCGGTCGACACAACAAAACTCTGTATCGTTTTCGAAATTTCCCGTTTCAAATGTTCACAATCAGAATTCCGCCACAACTATGACCTGAACTCTTCATTGTGGATGGGTAAGACACTACGGGTTAACAAATCCTTTAAAATTTGCTTATTTCATGGGCTACCTGCGTACTGCTGCCGCTTTTCCTCAGACTTGCGTCCGCCTTGACAGCGTATCGAAATTGCATCGCTGAGAAGAGCAAAGAGCACCAACGGAGCCTTTGTAGCCAATTTAATCTCAGATCGAGCAACGTGAAACATACGATGTGGAATCTCGTACAGCACCAGACCACCACCGCAGAAATAACTAGTAGAACTGAAATCATCGACAGCCTTATAACACCTCTTTAGCGCCCATCGAATGGATGAGAGATAATTAAGTGCATGAGATATGCGTCTTGCACTTGGCGCTCCCTAGAAAGGACACCGCCCAACCGTGAAACGCGACATCATCAAACTTGGTCAATGTGGTATCAGTCAATAGAGTAATGAATGAAATCCACTATGAGAATCTGTGTTACTGTGGTAAGAAAATGGACATACAGAAGAAATGGACCGTATGCGATTTGCTCGCAACTCGGATTCAATCAATAAACAACAACGTATGCCATCAAAACTCTTTAGATCATATCATGTACAATATCCTGGGCCCGTGAGAAACACATTGCAACAAGTACACACAAAGACACTTGCGATGACAAACAATAAAATTCGTTGATGAATGAATGAACGAGGCAAAATGTATGAAAAAGGAAGAACGATGACGATAATGAAGTATAATCATGCCTGTGTAACACAGGCAAACTTAAGTCAAACCGGTGACATGAAGTGAATTTTCTTTCAACACAGAAATATATTTTAAATACAAAATATTTAGGAGAAAACCAAACATGTTCACAAGGACGCGACATAGGATGATTTTCACAACAGTGAAGAGCTAGTTGAGGCGACCCCAACGCAGATAAGATCCCCACGTGCCTTCAGATTCACGACGAGATGTTTCTAAACATTATATTTCAGATTTAAGGTCACAGGTTTGACGATGAAAATATCGGGTATGCCAAATTCCAGTCAGTTTCGCTACAGTCACTACAGGCAACTAAAACGACTCTTTGGTTCTGGCATGGGCAGTGGGCCGGGGCATCATGCACAGAACCCCTACAGCCGACACTTCACTTCACATGGCCTGTGTCCTCGAAATAGGGTCTAGGGGAAGGCGATTTAAGCAATTTTTCCTTCTGAAATTCCCACTTCTAGTCCCGATTCGCACAACGATGCCCCCTCAAACCCGTTATTCCACCTGGAGAGATGAGAATGAGTCGCTAACCGACTACAACTCTCTCCTGCTGCTGTTACATAGTTCGTGCACGCGATGCTTCGACTGGGTGATTTCTTTAAAAGCGATACGTCACATCGCGTAGAATGTTCCGATAAGACTAATATGTTTGTACTTTAGGTGCACAAGCACGCAGTTCTCCCAACACAACTATACAACACACACAGCCGAAACGCTTAACTGTTCATATGAACAATTACATTTCCGCCCCCGGACAACACATACATACACAGAAAATAAACAATGTGCCAGTCACCAGCAAATCAGAGTAGACAAATCCCATGAGTAAACGTTGTTAACGCTATTCTCCCTCACATGATTACCCATTATCAACAACATCCGGTTGCTTCTCGTGAGATGAAAAAATAATAGTCAAACTAATCAAATGCTGCTTCTTCTTGTGGCCCCCTTGACTGATACAATCACTGTACTGGCAGCAATTTCTTATGACCGGTCAGAACTATGTAGTAACGTTTACGACCTCGTCAGAGCAACTATGAATAGAATCTGATAGCTTTGCAAGGGTTAAAAAAATATTCTCAACTTAATAGACCGTAAAACGCGCCAATTTCAGAAGAAACTGTTCGCTCTTGTGGCACACATGACAAGATAAGGCTAGCACGTTTGATAATTTGAACTTGACTGTTACACGGCACATTTGAAGATAACACTGACGACTACAGTTTTGGCGTCCAGACCTAGTAAACTTTACGTTGCCCTGAAAAAAGCTATGGATAACTCACCATCTTGAGCAGCGATGCGATTGAGACGTTCAGTTTCCTCAGGAGAAAGGCGAAGCATGGTAGTCAGAATGGGAACCAACTGCATACGTTCTCCAGACACTCGCTCCGGACAGAGAAACTGAAGCAATGACTATGACATCGGAATCACCTCTTCGTTCTCTGACTTATACGCATAATTCTTTGGCAAGTCAATCTGTCATCTTTAAAGCGTCACTCTGACAGAAGTCATCCATAACGGGCATTTAGCAGGAGTCGGGGCAGAATTTAACAAATTGACGACAGTATGGCGCGTATGCGCGTCAGATTTTCACACAAGTGGTCACTGTTTTGCCCAATTTACTTGATATTTTTTCATGTGAGAAAGCAGACCGTTTACTTATCGAGTACTGAAATCTTGCATGCACTACCAGTAACGAAATTATTGAAGGGGTAGCACTAATTTTGGAAAAAAAACTCTAGAAAAAGCCGAGAAAAATCCATTACGGGCAGTCCTCCAAGTTTTAAGAGAGGAGCAATGTTTGTGAAGTAATTTAGGCTCAAAGATAGTAGGAGGTCGACCTGGGAAGCTCCGATTGGCGCAGAAATGCTGCGGAAGTAATACAGAACACTTAGGGAAGTGATGATTCGGTAATGGTATTCGGTATTTATTCGAGTTTAATTCAGCACAAATCCTCATTTAGGTTCATCTGATAGTTTTTCACGCCTTTGCTTCGTAGCCACCCTGAACAACCACAACAATTAATTACCTTGATAATAACATTCTTCAAGTATTCGCTGTTCTCAATGTGACTCAAACGTTCCTCATTTCTTTCCATACGACGAATTTCCTCCTTCAGAAGCAGACTCTAGAATGATGCTAATTACAAGGAATCTCCACGGAATTAACGACACTGAAAGACAAGCAGCAATGCAATGCCACTCCTTTCTTCCCATTTCTGAGACCTGCGCTTAACTTGAAGGGGCATTTACTGGGAACCTATAGTGTTAAGTTTCGTGCCAGCTAAGTAAAGCTACAACTGCCAACACGACTGCTGAACACACACACACACATACTCCACGGAAAAAGCATGTTTTGCAAAGCTGCATCAATATTTATAGACAGCGAGGCATCATTACACCTCATCACCTTCCTTTTAAAATTTCTGCTTTTCATTACTCTAGGCAAATAACACCACTGGAAAACTGCCAGATAAATGTGTATCAAAAGTTATACATTGTACATGGCCGCTTTAACCCTTTGACGACCGTGTGGCCCGCCGGTGGGCCACACTTTCGCTCGGTGGCGACACGTTTTTAGGGGTTTATTTTGGCATTTTTTATGTTTCAAAACTACACAAATACATCATCGAATTCGCGGAATAATGCGCTAATTACTAATAGTGAAATTGTTGGAGAGTTAATGATTATTGATGAAAAAATTAGAAAGAAGTGAAGTGACGCATTCATAACGGCGGTCGTCAAAGGGTTAATAAATGAACAAGTTTCCGTAAGTCCTAGGAAAGAACTCACCTGAGCAACCAGCGTTGCATTCGTTGCCTCAGAATCACTCAACAGCTCACGAGTATGTTGCAGATTCTTGGTAAGCCGTTCATTTTGTTCCATAAGCTCATGCACAGACTTCACACCACTGTCATCACCGAAATGTGATGTGGTGTCAGGAATTTCGTCACCGAAAAGCACGTCTTCCAAAGTGCGCTCATGCTGAAATCGTAACTATTATTTTACTACGATTTTACCGGCGCAAAATGAGGTCTGCGATGAAAGCCGCACGAAGTGGTTTCATTGAGGACACAAATAAGGTAACGTGGCCAATGTCGATCAATACCAAGGATACGCCACGCCTTTACCTTATGCTCGAGATGCTGATGTGTTTGAATGTGAACTTGGTCTAAAGAAGAACCTGCAGGGCCCTTAGCTCACCATTTCAGGGATCGACACAGACAAACAGTAACTGCTATTCAAAGAAGGCAGAGTCGACCTAGATGGGGTAATCCACGAAAGTTTAGCGCACATCTACTCTACTCTTTAGTGATTTCATAAGAGCCAAATGTGTGGCGATAGCGTTCAAACAGCCATGAGTACCATGTAGTTTTTTCAGAATGCTTGAACAACACTGCGCAATATTTGCATATCAATTTCCAAGGTTGAGTGGAGTTCTCGTCTTTTGACGCAACAAAGATGTCGCTCAGTGTCCCACAGTTGATGAATTTATGTTTTCTACAAATGCACTTAAAATCTATTTCACTTCAAAACCAGCAAAAGAAATAAAAATTTTGAAATGTACACAATTTAACTGAAGAAATAAGGCCTAGTCTTCAGAGAGGCAATGTAACTGAGGGGTTAGTCTACCCTGGTACCTTGGAATACCTTTCAAGTACTCTTCCAAGGTACTTCATCTATGTACATATTCACCACACTCCCGTATACATCACCTACAAGGGAGGTCGTTCAGGGTGTGCCAAGCTTTTTCAAAATGACTGAACGGCTCTCTGAATACCAGAAAAGGGTCCCTAGTTCGATTCCTCGTGGTGACAAGTTTTTGCATTTCGTGTTGACGTTTCCAAATTCGCGCAAAATGGAGTTAGCATGAATAATTAGTACCAAATTCATGATTAGGACCGTCAGTAACCCTTACAAATAGACTTTGATTGAAAAACTGGTGAAAAAGGTGTGACTAGGGACCCCCTTTTCTGGTATTCAGAGGGCCGTTCAGGAAAAATTAACCATGGTTCTGTGGTTCCCGCATGTGCCTCTATCATGCAAAAGACCGTTTTGAAAAAGCTTGGCACACCCTGAAAGACCTTCCTTGTTATCTCATCTGAACACCATTTCCATTTCCAGTGATGGTTTTCAACTGTTAACATTTTGAAAAAAGAAAAACGACCCACTGAAAACTTGCCTAAAACTTTAGGAAAGCAGACATAAACGTAGTTCAAATGTTTTCTCTGTCGAATCGATAAGTTTAGCACCTTAGCCAAGCCTGTAGTAGTGACTGTAGCTGCTACAAAGACAAGCACTGTACTTTCTGAAGAACTAGTGCGATAGGTGTCTTCAATAGCCAGTCACTTTAGTCCCTCAGAACTTTCATTTCAATTCATATATTAAAAAACAACACAAAAAAGGACCAAGTTAACTTCGAATAATCAAAAGATCATTCGGGAATGCACTATTCTGGTTCGTAATGTGACAATAAACTTTGTTGTTCAGGACGATTCATAAATCTCGTGGTCGTGTTCGCTCTCTGATTTGGTAGCCCCTGCCCAATCAGCTGATTTATCAAGGACGGATCAAATTCGGAGCGATGGAGAAAGAGTGGGCCGATCGCTGCCCAGAAATCTGTCTAGTATAAATACGATTCATGTATTACACATAGCTGCCAGAATCCTTGGTCCAAAAAAGACTTTACCTTATTTTCAAAGTAGGATAAACGATAGAAATGATCCTCGCAGTAATCACGTCACTATGAGCAAGAGCAATTTAGCGACCCACCATCCCAGAAAACTGGTAAATTTTGAAGGCTATTCAAAAGATAGAAGCCGATTGGGATCACTGATGAGCAAAAGGTATAGCTCGATCATCGAAAAACTATAAGGGCTTCAAATCATGCTACTTTAACTTTGATCGACAGGAGTTACTGTAGTTTTAGAGTTCCATAGTGATCGAACGACAGTTTTCCTTCATAAATAACTCGACGGCAATCATTCGTGCACTATTTTCTTAAGAATGTCTGCAACCCAAGTTATTTTAATGTATAGTGGCAATCATGTAATCAATCTAGAACATTCTCTAGTCGGGCGGCGCACAATTTTTATAGCCTTACCCTGTCCCATAATCGCAAATACCGGTTTTCTCAAAAATAAATCAGATAACCGATAACCGCCGTAATATTCATAACATATGATCTTCTGAACAAGTTTACCATCCATCACCCGTATGGAGCCCAAGGAGGCTAGCTTATTTACAAATAATCAAAACTGCTGCATTTCCCTTGCAGGCTCCCAGGCAAATCAGATTTTCTTATTAGACCTTAGTTGTGAAAAAAAAAACAAAGCAGTCAATACAGGATAATGCTTAAATTGTGCGTCGATACCGCTCTGAAATGCGCCAAGTATTCCCTTGAAATTTCATTCAGAATCATGCTTATGGTTTAATGCGGTTCGGTTATAATGACTCGCGGGGCCAATCCAATGCACAAACCACCGTTTTCATCCTCCCTGGCTCCCTCAAGTCAAATCCTCAATTTTGAAAAAAAGCATACATATAAAAAAAGGAAAGTTTTACAAAAAAAGATTTTCTGATAGGTAACACAGACCAAGTAAGCACCAAATGAGAAAAAAAAATTGCGTGCACTGAGGGCTTTTCTAAATATAGTCCTGCTGTCAAAAGCATGAATTAAATTTTCATCTGTTTCATTAGTAACGGCAGGTATCAAGAAAATGACGACACCTACTCCAGTTGTGTTGAGTGGCTCTTCTCTTTCATTGACTATGTATGAGTCAGCATACCTCTGCCGGTTGAACTAATAGTAATTGGAATTTTGACCCAGCAAGCATAAAATTGTAAATTAGCTAGCACATAAGAAACAAAGTGACGTAATCCACTTCTGTGAGCTGCACTGACCGTTCATGAAACGAATTCCTCACCAAACATTCCCATATCTTTAAGATCAACTGATCAATGCCAGGGTCAAATTGTAATCCTGAAAATTCGATAACTTTTAGCCCTGCGAGTCAAAATATTCATAAGTACAAGAATCAAAAACCCGTTCAAATGTTCCTGCAATTCCATGTACGACTACAATACATGGCGGCACTCCAAAACGATTGACCAGCGCAGGTCCGTTCTTTTAGTTTTTATGTAATCGGAATTTTTTTTGTAAAACAAAGACATGCTGAATCTATTTCCAGAACATGTAATGAAAGTCATCCCGTCATAAAAGCTATCGGACGAAAAGGTCAGATGTTGTGATGAGTAATAGAAACAGCAAAAGCGTCTATAATATCGTGCTTAGTTTATTCTGCATGAAGTGGGCCGATATTTCTTTGAGCGTCATCAACGCGCAACACAGACGTCAATGGCCTCATTGCGCAGCCAGCGACCAAATAGTGCCCCCAAGTTTATTTTTCGACTTAATAAACGAAGTCTATGCCAAGGTATTACCCTTGAAGGTTCAGAAACAGACGTTGCGGAAGTGTAATTCACGTGACCTCAACTATACAGGCCCTAACACCCTAAAACCTAGTAGGCCTTAAAACATAAGAACGGTGATTTGTACAGTTTTCCCAGAACAGGTGAGGCAATGCCGCTCTATCGTAGAGAAATTCTCACCATCATCGGTTGGGTCTCAACTCTACGAAGAAAGGGTTGGATCCCTTGAGAGGTTTCTTAGGAATGTGGTGCATTTAGTGGGGCAATTTCATGCATAAAAGATGACCTAATGCAAATTTCAAAATGAGCCCACAAACCAAGCGTCATGACAACTTGGAATGTTGAAAAGATCATACATCAACCCACACTCATCATGGCTTACATACATACCCTCCCGTTCTCTGCGTTCTCATAGCTTGAGACAGGTGACAAAAGCGAGAGGTTCACTGGTGGTTACTAATTTAATGAATATCGCTTCTCGACTTTTATTCTGAATCAAGGTTTGTCTGCAAGTTACAGGTGAAACTGGAGGCAAGGAAAGAGGAAGCCCCCACCCCCTTGTGCTCCACAATACTAAGGTTAGGAAGAAGAGGCTCATGACTTGTCTAAAATATAAATACAGCTGTAGCATGTAGCTCCTGAGCAGCTCTCACAATCAGTCTGAAATGGACCGAATCGAAGAAATGACATCTTCGCCCTGGACCTAAGGATGGAGGAGCTCAAGGGTGGATGACCAACTGCAAAAAAGTAAATGTGAGATGTTGGACATTCACCGATTCTTGTCGGAAGTACACTCAAATAGTTGATTACGTATAATGTTATCCTTAGTGTTGGAGAGACCAAGCGGAGTGCCTTCTTGCACTAAGAACAACATAACAAGCAGTCCTCTTTCCCTCCACAATCTCCATTTTCACCCCAAGTTATTTGAAACTTATTACTCATGAGTCATATTAGCCGCAGCCCCGAGCAGCGGCTGATGCAGAGTCTCAACATCGAATCTAGCCGCTACGAAGTTTTTGATTGTAGTTGGCCTTGAAACTTGTGGAGGAACGGTCTGCCAGGAATGTCACCGTATAAGATTTCCAAGGACTAATATTCATCAGTGCTCGTATGTCTTTATGCATAGAGAACAATGAACCCAAATTCACATCACAACCGTCTGTACCATTAGCCTTATACACGATGACGCACTGAAGTCGCTTGTCCACACATCCTACGAATTCCAATCGTGGATATTTGCGGTGTTTTAACGAGGCATGGCCTAAATGGGGTTTAAAAAAAAACCTTTTGCTCCCCGGGTAGAATGGATTTTATATCAAAAGGAGTGGCTTACGGATTTTCATCGGAAGGATGCATGATAATCACCGCCACTGACGCAACATGTTGCTGGCCAGTGAAAAGCAAACATTGAGAGCAAAGTGCAAGGATTTGAACAGAGGGAACAAAGCTACTCAACGATTAGTCTTTGAGCTAAAACTCGACTTATTAATTTGTATAAATTTTAATGACAGTTTACGACATGGGAATATTACATTAGAAGGGCGGAAAAAAGA